TGTACCACTAGTGTGTGGRAAGACAAYTGGATCTCCTCAACCGAGAAAATGAGACCTATAGGACCAGCTACTGAAGAAGTCTATGATATGAAGGTGGCWGACCTRCTTATTCCTAGTACTAAAKAATGGGATGTGCACAAGATTAGAGAGACCTTACCAACCTTTGAAAAAGAGATCCTCTGTATCAAACTGAGTTTGACTAATGTTGCAGACATACACATATGGATTCCTCAAGCATCAGGCGAGTATACCACAAGAACAGGATATCACACGACATACTCAGAGAATCCAAGGCAGATGGCCACTGCAAATGCAAATAGAGAATTCAATTGGAAATCAGAAATATGGGAAGGTCTGTTCTCTGAGAAGCTAAAACTGTTCTTGTGGAAGGTTATGCAGAAAGCCCTACATGTGGGAGAAAATTTGGCTACTAGAGGCATAATCACGCATTTGAACTGTGTTTGATGTGGAGAACCTGAAACAGCGATTCACCTTCTGTTCCATTGCAACTTTGCTCGAGAGGTATGGAGGCTTGCACCCTATAAGGATCCCTTTGAACCTAATAACGTACAGAAACTCGGTAACGGGGTCAGGGAACTCAAATCACTGACTTGCTTACCCCCCTCGAGTATGGGAAATTGACCCCTATTCCCCTGGGTGTTGTGGAATCTGTGGACAGCTAAGAACAATGAGATATTCAGTGGGAGAACTTTATCTGCAGAAGAAACAATCGCAAATTCAATTCGGGGGGGCAAGAGAATGGCAATGGGCTAAGGAAAAGATCTCACGTTCAAGCCGCAGGAATTGGAGACCAGAGTTCCCATCTCACATGAACAGATGTTTCACAGACGGAGCATGGAGAGAAGATCGACTAGCCGCATGCATGGGTTGGAGAATCGAGTCGAATCGCAAGATCTTTGTGSGAYAKGGATCAAAAGCTATRGATTTTGTGAAATYYYCCTTGATGGCGGAARCCCTTGCAATCCGCTKTGCCCTCAATCATGCCCTCGAACTGGGATTGGAAACCATCTGCATCGCATCCGATGCACACGAACTAATCCAGTTTTGTCTCGGAAATCTTTGTGATTCTTCACGATATCTACAAACTTTCCTCTCAATTTCTTGATGTTGGATTCTCTGACAAAACAATCTCTCCATGCCCTTTCGATGACATCGGAGATGAACCCGACTGTTTAATTTCTCAATTAATAAATTTTCAGAACAAAAAAAAAATTAAAATTACATTTATAATTTTTTTTTAATTTTGTATTAAATAGAATTATTTATCAAATATAATTATTTTAATAAAGAAAACAACACATGATCATACTGTTTTTACAAAATTTAGGTGTATAAACATTATTATGACATGTTAATTTTTCTATTTACATAATGAAAAAAAAAATCCAATGTATCATGTAAATCCTAAGAAAAGAAATTGTAAAATAGGCAATTAATTGTGGTTGAAATCTGGGTCAAAGAGAAAGAAGTGAAACTTTGACCCCAAAAAAAAGAAAAAAAAAACGAGAAAGAAGTGAAAAAAGTATACCGCCTCTGAGACAAAATAAATATCTCTCGAGTCCGTCGCTTCATAACTTTCCGGGAAAATCTTTCCCAGTTTCTCTTCGCCTCGAACTCTTCACTCTCTATTTTCGTACCATTTCATTGATCGGAGAGCTTAATTCGTTCATCTCCTCGATGCAGGAATCTTAGTATTTCCATTTACAGAAGAAGTTGGTCTATTATTGGAAACAAATCGTCTCTGATTCTGTAGTTTATTACTGAATAGAATTCGAAAAACTAGGGTTCATCGAATCGGTACTTCGTGTTGCTGTTTCCCAAATAGTATAAGTTCTGATACAGTCGTCGACATTTCAAATCCGCTTTTGTTGAATTTTGAATTTCTGGATTTTTTTCGCGGCGGTTTCGTTAGCTTATAGGGATTTTGAAGATTTGAGGGAATTTTGCTTTATAATTCTGTCGAGTATTGCTACGATTGATCCGAGGAGTTGGAAGAAGTAGGGTTTCTCGTTCCGGATTTGCTGTTCTTAGTCGATGAAGTAGGAGATAATGGATATTGATGGAGTAAACGATGTTCATATTTTAGATCCTGAGCTCTTACAGCTTCCGGGTTTGTCTCCTTCTCCGCTCAAAGCAAGCTCTCATATTGCTGATGAACTCTTCTCTCAGTGGCTTTCACTCCCAGAAACAGCCACATTGGTACTTTCGTTTGACTTGTTGCTAGTTTTGAGCTATTGGTCTCTCTTTTTATTGTATTCTGCTCTAGCTTCCCTAACTGTGTGATGTTTTTGTAGGTCAAGTCTTTGATTGATGATGCTAAATCTGGAGGACTAACTAATGTATCCAAGAATTGTGCCAGTATCAATGTTTCTTGTGGAAGTGTTTTGCCAGCTGTGTTTCTGAGCAGTGGCACTCCCCCACTATCTCCGCGAAGCTCGTCTGGTTCTCCCCGTTTTTCGAGGCATAGGACTCCATCTCTCCAGTCTCCTCTGAGATCAGTTAAGGAACCAAAGGATGAGCTCATTCCTCAGGTTTGTTCTCATTTCCAGCTGATTCGATCTCTACATGGATATAATTGCATTGCATTGGATCCTTTTTCACATAACAGTAGAATGCACTGTCTAGCTTGGGATCGTGAATTTGGTCTGGTATGTATGTGCACTTGATTTGTCAATGAAAATGGATGCAGAGTACAAGATTAAGCTGAGGCTACTAATTTGTAGGTAAAATTGATTTGAAGAGAAAATGCTCCTTCACTTTGACATGATAATAAGTTTACTAGTTTGACTCATAACAGTTTGTAGCAACATTTAGTGTGGCTTATTCTTAAATGTTTTTGTACGATGCTGTTTTCTGCAGTTCTACTTCCAACACGGGCGTCCACCAGCAAAAGAACTAAAGGAGCAATATAAATCCATGGTTGATCACTTTTTTAGTAACTATATTGACGGACTACATGTGGATGGTGATGTTTTAATTCAAGTGTTTGTTCATATTTTTGTTCCTCTAAGGAATATGTAAGGGCAATTCATCTTATCATTCTTGTTCCTCTTGCAGAATTCAAATCCATTACGAAAGAAGTCTGCAAGCTGCCGTCTTATCTTTCTCGTGCACTTTTCAGAAAGATGGATCCCAATTGCACTGGTATAGTTACAAGGTAGCTTCATGCATGCTATTTTTTCTTTTCTAATAGTAGTTAACCGTATGTATGTGTGGGTACATGCATGTCTTTTTCTCCCTTTTGAGTTCATGAAACCTAAAAGTTTATTGAGTAGTTGGTGCTTTACTAATGTTTGCTGATTGATCACAATTGTCCTCAGGGATGCATTTATCAAGTATTGGATTGATGGAAATATGTTAACTATGGACACAGCCTCCCAGATATATAATATACTAAGGCAACAGAACTGCAAGTATCTCAGACAGGTCTTTCTGTGATTCTTCTCCCGCTTTTCTTCAATTGCGTTCTGACTTATTTTCCAACAATTTGGTTTCTTTTTTTTTTAACACATAGCACTAAAGATTTGTATCTTTTCCTGGATTTGGCTACAGGAAGACTTCAAACCAGTTCTTGATGAGCTTCTGGCAACACATCCTGGCTTAGAATTTCTGAAGACTGCAAGTGAATTTCAAGAAAGATATGGTAGGACTCATTGATTTGTGACTTCTTGATGTCATGGGTGTTAAATATGATGAAATCTACTGGATTTTCTTTTCTAAGCTAAATAAGTTAAATATCTTGTTTTCTTCTTTGCACACTCCTTCATACCTCTATTGGTTATGTGATTTATGCTTGTACTAATTTGATCCTTTGTTGATTACCCAGCTGAAACTGTCATCTACAGAATATTTTACTACATCAACAGATCTGGAACTGGTTACCTTACTTTCAGAGAGCTGAAACGCGGAAATCTTATTGCTGCTATGCAACAACTTGATGAAGAAGACGACATCAATAAAATCATAAGGTAAGTTTGTTTTTCTTTTCATAATTTCTTAACCATGTTTTAAATTCAAACATATTTAAAAGAAAATGTTCTGTTGTTATCTAAGAGGTGAACAAGCCCACAGAAAAGTATGACTGTTTAGTGGTTTGTCACATATATATCTTTAAAACTGTGCAAAAGGAAAGAGCTATATGAGTATCGGTTTATGTCTTCAGTTTCTGAGACATAACTTATGTCTGATACAATAATTCACCACGTGTCATTTCTTTTCACTTTTCAGGTACTTCTCCTATGAGCACTTCTACGTCATATACTGCAGATTTTGGGAACTTGATGGTGACCATGATTGCTTTATTGATAAGGACAATCTCATCAAATATGGTAATCATGCCCTTACCTACAGGATTGTTGATAGAATATTTTCACAGGTTGGTCCCCGAAATTGTTCCTGCCTGGACCTTCTTGAAAACTACGTTATAGTCTGATGGAACGCTTTTTAATTTATCTTGATCCATGTTGCGGCTATGTTTCTCTCTTAGGCTCCTAGGAAGTTTACGAGCAAAGTTGAAGGGAAGATGAGTTATGAAGATTTTGTATACTTCATTCTCGCCGAGGAAGACAAATCTTCGGAGCCTAGTCTTGAGTATTGGTAGACATCTCTCCCCTCCATGTTTTAAGCAGTTTTCCTCTATGAAAATTGCTGATTAGTTTAAATCACATGATCATGATATAAACTATACTATCTACTGTGGATACCAAACACAATCTTTTTACTGGTCTGTGTATGTCCGTTGATACTGATTGGAATCATCTTTGCAGGTTCAAGTGCATAGACTTGGATGGAAATGAGGTGATCACTCCAAACGAAATGCAGTTTTTTTTCGAAGAGCAGCTGCATCGCATGGAATGCATAACCCAGGAACCTGTTCTCTTCAACGATATCCTATGTCAAATAATTGACATGATTGGACCGGAGGTTAGAGACTTTTCAAACCAGAACATGGTCATTTTGTTTTTACGAGCTGCTTTTTTTTATGTTCGTTCATTTGATTGGAATCATCAATTCGTTGAGTGACTTTACAGAAGGAGAACTGCATCACCCTCCAGGATTTGAAAGGATCCAAACTTTCTGGCAACGTCTTCAATATACTCTTCAACCTTAATAAATTCATGGCATTTGAAACACGTGACCCCTTTATCATTCGCCAGGTACGTTTGGCTTTCTCATGGAGTTTTTGTAGGACTCGGGAGGGAAAAAACAAAGAATGTGTGACTGCTAAAGGCAGGTGTTAGTAGTTTTCGGATTGATGCAAGTAAAATAAGTAGTATGTTTCTGTTTCATTGTTGTTTAGGAACGGGAGGATCCAAATTTGACAGAGTGGGATCGATTCGCTCAGAGAGAGTATGTGAGATTGTCAATGGAGGAAGATGTAGAGGAAGTCTCAAATGGGAGTGCAGATGTATGGGATGAACCACCCGAACCTCCATTTTAGTTCATAGTGGTAAGTTCACACTACTTCTGAGTTCCTAACCACACGTGTATATGAAATGTAAATGCTTGTGCTCATTTATCGACTAAAAACCCGATCTTGACAATACAAACCAACCAAATTCGGTGAAAATCTTTGTGCATATTGAGAAATCCAGTAGCATTAACCATTTATCTGTTTACTTTTGTCATAGCTTGTAGGTCCATGATCAGAGATTGGAGACTACTGTCGTATCAAGACGCTTCTGGAAGCGGAGATTCATCAACATAATCTACAAAGAGTGCCAATATTCATGAAGTTTTCGCATTTTTGTCTTGGTTTCATAGGTTTTGGTTGGTGTCCATATATAGAGTTGGATTGTCTGATGATGAAAACATCAAAGTAACATTGTACAAAACATTCTGGATTCTTTTCTTTTTTTCTTTTGATATGAAGTTGAGTAGCATATTCATTTGA